TGTGAAACCAGTTGCTGACAGCGTTGGGCCTTGATCGAGAGATGTGCAGCCTGCCTGTGCTTGTGCCGACTTTTAGGCCTTGACCCGATTATGGCAATCGGCAGGAAAACCGGCTAGCCTTTTGAGTGCGCTGCACGTGCATTTCATAATACTACTTACAAGTAATAGTTCCTAGTATTAGTTCGAGTTCTTCTAACGTGTTCAGTGCGTAGCAGCATTTAAAGGCCGTGGAAGGCTAGCCGCCTAGCCTCCGACCTCAGGACTCTGAGAGTTACTCTGTTTCATTGTTGAGCCAAAGCGGGCAAAGCATCCTCTCCCATGTGACCATTCACGTAAAGGATAACCCAACAAGCAAAAATAAGAGCCCTGAATTAGCACCGAGATCTTCGTTTTAAAACGGGCTTAGAACCAGAAAGGGTGCCACATCATGTCTTTCTTTCCATCAGGCTGAAAGACTCCGTCGTGAAGAGGAGCTTCTCGGGGACGGTGACATAAGACTCCTCCTTTGCACACTTGCACAAGGAGGAACGTGAAGCTGCGAGAATAGCTGCAGAGAAGGCGGCTGAGGAGGCTGTTTCAGATCTGTTTCAGTTGAGAAGACCCACTGCGTGTCTGCATGGGGTCCTCCATGCGCAAGGCAGAGCGGCAACGCATCGAAGACCTCAAGCGCCAGGCGCTAGAAGAGGCTTGCCGTTTGCATTTGTGCTTGCAGCAGTGCTCGGCAGTCGCGCTGCGTCATGCTGTGTCACAAGGCTGAAAGGGCCGCCCGAGAGGAGGAGCACGACAAATCGGTTTGGCCGGCTGGAAGTGCAAGCAAGAAATCACAGATGCCAGGAAGCGCGCATCAGGCGGGAGGAGGCAGAAATCAAGGGCAAGGTTGTGGTCTCTGTGTCTGGCTCTCACAGAACCTTCCTACAACTCCGTCGGACAGCGGTCTTGGTTGAGGACTGTGGTAAACGACGAGACCGAAGAGCTGATGGCCAAGGCCGCGGATGCAGCGGCACACCATGCAGTCAAGCAGTGCTTGTGCTTTCTCGTCTTAGTTGAAGCTGCCAGGCCTCATTAAGGCTTGGTTGCAAAGTTCTCGAACTTGCACAGGCCTTCTCTCACTCCAAACTTAACGTGCATCACGTCTTCTAGTACAGGTTTGCATCCGGGAAGCACGGTTGTCGGTGACTCCCGCCATCTTCACCGAGCCCAAGCCGGAGCCCAGAATGGTGCGCGGAAAGATGGCCCCTTTGCTTCAAAAGCTAATTACAGCTCAAAAAAAGGGAGAACTCGCAGTTGCTTGATGCTTTCAGGATTGCAGGAACTGGTACCTCTGCCCAGGAAGGAATGTCATTGTCCGTGCATGTCCGGATCAGATGCTGGAGCAGCTCATTCAAGGCTCGGAGGACCAAATCTGAGTTTTCCAACAGTCGCAGCAGCAGCCGCAGCCGCGACGGTAGCCGCCACTGTCGCAAACGCACAGAAGCAACAAGTTGCTCGAGTGAGGCCAGAGGCTTTCCAGTACTTGCACCAAGAAATACAGCATCTGTCGCAAACTGGCAGGCGCGAGGTCATCGCTCTCGGTGCCTGGAGTGTGGTCGCAGAGTAGTGCAGAATACTAACACATCCACTTTGGGCAGCAGCGTTTGCCCACCCGCCTGCCCCTCACCGCCCCTTGCCTTCTCACCCACCCATCCGGACACATAAACGTAGAAAGACCTGCCAATGGTATGCTTCAACTTCGCGAACAGTTTTCGAACCGTAGCCTCGAGCTGCCTCTACGGGTCCGTGAGCAGCGCCAGTTTGCAAGTACAGTACGTTCGCCTACTGACATCTGTCAGCTGCATTGGCATATCCTGCCTTTGCAGAGTCCAAAGTGCCGAGTGTAACTTCTGCGCCGCCGTCTTCCACGTCTCAATCAATCTAAGAGTGCAATTCCTCCCATCCCCGGATTGAAATAGATCTTCGACAAGGGTCTTCAAAGCAAATAGCTGCAAGGGCTGTTGATGAGTACTTGCTCCAAGCCTTCCCGAACATTGTATTCGACATCTCAGACGGGCGCGCGGAAGTAGATCAGGCTGCGAAGTAAACGCACGCGAGAAACACAGTGATGAATGCCGATAAAGGCTTTGTGTAGGGGTCTGGCTCGCTGTCAAATCGTGAGTATGTGGTAATTGGGGAGCTGAACAGCAAGAAGGTGTGTTCTGAAAAATGACGTCGCCATGGTTCCGTCTTGTCAAGATTTCCAAGGAAGTGCGCGAGCGTTTCGTGTGTGGGGCTCAGATCACTCAGATCAGCTTAGAATCCAGTATTCAGAACCTCCCGTGCACGGATCCGCAAGCCGCTGAAGATACCAGGACGGTGGCGCCGCAACAGATGCTTCTGTAATGTGGCTCGCAGGCTGAACAGCGAAGACACGCTGTTGGAAGCTGGTGTGGAGGCGAATCAGTCTTGTTCAGTCAGCCTCAATTCATATTTCGACTCTTTGAGAACAACGCCGTCCTCAGAGCCAAGATCAGTCCCGCAGTCATCACCGCGTCAAAGGTTCGACCCGTCAAGGACCACTCTTCAGATGCAAATTCGAGCCTGTTGGAGGACCGCACAGCTCGCATTTGGAATGCAGAGCCGGTGGCCTAAGGGCCTATGCGGCCTTAGCCAGCAAGACTGCATTAACATGCTTCTGGCGACACGCCGAGGACCGGGAAATGTGAGCTCATTCTGGAGGGCCACACCGAAGCAGTGTGCCGAAGCCCTACATCATCATGTCAGCAAGCAAGAGTGCAGTGCAAGTTTATGAGGCTCGGCTTGTATTTCACCAGACTGCCGCTATGCCGGGGCCGTGACTGAGCGAGATTAATCAAGTTTCCAGATTTTCTGTCCGGACGAGGTGGCGACCTCTTCGGAAGATGGCTCCTCCAGGAAGAGTCATCTTCTTTGCCAGTCCGCAGTCGAGACCGGTGTCGATCTCTTTGGCAGGCTCTGGTATGTCGACAGCGGCCGCTGCGCTCGAGTCCTGCCTTCCTCCAAGTGCGAGTTGCGCGAAGTGCGGCCGCACGCGCGAGCGCGCGAAGTTCCTTCCGTCCCTTCCCGCTGCCACGGAGGCTGGACCACAAAGAGGCTGTTTACTTTGCCACGTTTTCGCCCGACAGCAAGCAGGCCAGAGTTTCCCGTCATTTTTCCGGATTCATCTAGTTTTGGTTTTGGTCCTGCAGGTCGTGACTGCATCAGAGGACGCCACTGCCAAAATCTGGGTGGTCAAGTTCACTGCTCAGGGCTTCCTGCATTCTCTATCATCCTTTTTTACATTCACGTGATCACTCAGAACCGGCATCTGCAAGCTGACTTTGAAAGGGCCGGGTCCCGAATGTCTTTTCTCGTGTCAGTTTGTACTGGCACGGCAGTGGCAGGCACCACTTCGCCGTCCTCTGGGCTACATTTTCCCCTGATGGTGGCTTTGCTGCAGCACGCTCTATGTCATCCCCAGGATCATTGAGCAAACTGTGAGGCAGAAGCGTAACAACCACAAGCAGCGACGGAACGCTCAAAATTTGGAATGCCTTCCACTTACAAATCTTCTGCAGCTTTTCAGGTCAAGGCCACCAGGTGTCGAAGCAGGCTTCACAGGTCAAAAGATTCCGTTCTGGTCTGCCAAGGCCAAAACAGGAGTTTGTGCCTTGCACCCAGAAAAGGGGCAACTGTGGCTGGAGATTGGTCTTATGACCTCGCAGTTCTTCACGATCGGCAAGCGAGGATCGGACCCTCCTTGGGCAGAAGCCCGTGTACCTGGCCTCCTTTGCAAGTGATGGCACGACTTTCGTCACGACTAGTGTTTGCCTTGGAAGAGTGACTGCACAGAAAGCACCACGGTGTTTGAATTGATCGCAGCTGCTATCGTTCGCAAGGTGGTGATTCGACTGCCAAGATTTGCGACCTGGTGTGTGTGCCCGAGTTTTTTGGACCGCGATGCGATGTCGTTCTGCAGGGGTAGCCTTGCAAGGACTGGAGAGGCCAAAATAGTTCTTACAGGCCACGACTCGCTTGTGCGACACTCAGCCTTGGCGGTTGCATTCACCGTGCCTAACAGCAGAATTGCATTGGTTCGAAAGAGTTCCATAGGAGTCCTTGTCGAGAGAGGGTTCGTTGTCGGCTAGTGCATGGTTGCTCACGTGAGACTGCCAGATCAGCTCTCGGTTCGGCTCGTGCCTGCGTAGTGTAGACGGCACTCTGTCCAGGTACTCGGCGCTTCCTACGCGCCTTCGTGTCCGCAGCCGGAGTCTCACCAGAAAGATGACGCTGGCTAAGCCACGACAGATGGATAGTTTCACAAGAATTCGTCAATATTTTCAATTGCCGGACCTTGTTGTCTCATGGACCGCAGGTTGCAGTCGTTTTGGTTATGTGGCATCCCAAATGGAACCACTGTGTACACAGGGTTTGATCCAGACCGCGCCATGACAAGTGGAGACAAGGCGAGTTCCTCTACGAAGTGTGGGATCCTGTTCTGGGAGCCTCGGAGAATCTAGCCTTTACAGGCGCTGTTTAGCTCGAATTCAGCAGCTGAGTGCAGCTGGCAACCTCTACACCGATTAACACAGCCACAGGAAGACTCCTGGAATGACATAATAGACGCAAACCCTGAACGCCCCAGTTTAGCGTGTGACTGCGGCAACGCATGCCAACGCTTGGCCATATCATTTTCGTGAACAGTATACATTTGCAGCACGGGTTCTGTCGTTTTTCCATGGGACAAAGGCATTGGTGCAAGTGATGCCGAAGAACAAACATAATAACTAACCTATGGCAGCCCAATACGATGACGACGCCTTGCAATGGCTACAAGGCCTCGACAGGAGACTCCAAGAACTCTTGAACAGCTCATTAGCTGCTGAATGTCAGCAGGCTTTGGCAGCAGCTGCAGCTGTCGGTGCTCTTTCTGGCCCGTTTTTGCCCATTCCATAGATGAGAACGGGTTGGTGATCGATAGGCCGAGAGGGCCTAGGGCTGGTTTGGAGCAGGCGCAGCCGCTGCTGCGGCGGTCTTGGCGTGCACCAACGCCAGCCCTCGAAGACAGGCTCGGGTTCGTGCAGCCAGCCCCGTCCCGTCCAGTCCCGTCCCGTCCCGTGTCGTCTCGTCCGTCCGTCCGTGTGCCTGTCTGCCTGTCTGCCTGCCTGCCTGCCTGCTTGCCTGCCTCCCTGCCAGCCTGCCTGGCTGTCTGTCTGTCTCTCTGTGTCTCTCTGTGTCTGTCTGTCTGTCTCTCTGTCTCTCTGTGTCTCTCTGTGTCTGTCTGTGTCTGTCTGAATCTCTCTGTGTCTCTCTGTGTCTGTCTGTGTCTGTTTGTGTCT